GGATCAGGGATAAAATTCTTCTGATCCCAATGACAAGAATTCTAGTGCAGGGGCCTGGCACTGGGACCTGGCCCCCAGTGGTGACCCCTGCAGCCACCAAAAGAAACTTGAAAGGTAAGTTCACTTTGTTAAGGTCCCAGGGTGCAATGAGTCCCAGCAAGACTCTCAAATGTTAAGCTTATGCTACCTGGGACCTTCAAATAGTAGACTTGCACCTGGGCCTCTCCAGGCCCAAGACTTAAAAGGCTTGGTACAGCCCGGTGACATAATGACCTTTGAACGCACCTGCTCCCCACAGGCTGGCATGTTCAATGAGGAAGGAATGCAGCAGGATTTCATGCGTTGTTCCTAGATACTTGCATGCTTAATATTCAAAATTAGATGAGATTTAGTGTGGAACAACTTTGTGGATTGTTTGGCATTTTATCTTATCTTAAATATCTTGCACTTGTGGCATGTTGTCATTTATTCTGCAATTAATGCATTAGTAATGTCTGCCAAGCCCTATAGCCAAAATCCAAAGTATGGCTAAATGGGCTTTAACTATATTTTTTTTAATTTAAAGTAGCTACTGAAAATACACTAGCTGCAGTGGCACAGAGTTCTGTAAGACCTGCAAAATGTAACCAACAAGCAAATTAGCTCTCAGTAAGCTTCATGCTGCTGTGGAAGGATTGCTAATATTACCCAAGCTAGACCAATATCTCTACACTACAATGCAGCCTACAGTCCAGATATATCCTAAGAGCTCTATAAACAATCACAGGTAGAGTTAAGGCTGCAGTAAAAATCACACCTGTAAATACAGTTTACTATAATCTCAAGATTTTTGTTCATAAAAAGCAAATAACCCGTTAGAGAACCAAGAGATGAACCATTAATCTGCTTCTCAAATATTGATTTTCATGCAACAGCAGTCACAACCTTAACTCCGCCCAGCCAAGGCTAAAACAAACAAAAACTGTGCTTTCTATACTTCCATCATATAGGACAAGATACCTAATGCAAGCATATCATTTTAGGAAACAAAGCTAAAATAGTTTCTGCGCCCTGTGCGGCAGCAGCCAGGGCTATGGAGGCTGTTATTCTTGCACCCCCTGGTGCAAGAATCAGGGTCCAGGGCTGGTCTTACACTAGCATTAGGAGGTATTTTTATGTCTATTTTCAAGAACAACAGGTTTGGAAACAAACAACTGTAGCTGCATTACACGTAAGTGAAGAGTAGAGTTGTGTGAATACTTGTTTCTGGTTGGCTGTCTGCATCATGAAAAAAATCAGCCCCACCTGCAAATGTCATTGGGATTTTCAGAAGAGCGGGGAAGCCTTCCCTATCTGCCCCATTGAATAACTTAATAAAAGTAAGTCACATCTATCTCTGACATGCTGTTGGTCCAATACAAGATATCACCCAAAAAAATCCTTGCCTCTCACTTATTACAATAAATTTGTTTTTAATTGTCTACCATTTTCAGTTTCTCATGCTTATGTCTGAGGGAAAACTGTGTTTATTTTTAAATAGAACTTCCTAATTATGCCTTAATCAGTTTGTGTTAACTCCATTCTTGAAGGGAAACTTCTCTCCTTCATTGAAAAGCCTCCCTCTTTCACCCTAAAGAACATCAATGCTTATAATGTCAATTAAGGGCCTCCCTTTCTAATTTACTTTGAATTTGTTGGAGAATCTCTTCAGCTGCCTATCTAAACCTACCTATTTTGAAATCCATTTTTTTCCTACTCTGAAAGGGAGGATGAAGTTGGATTTAGAATAGAAACACCTGTGCAACTTTAGTGATGTTCACTGTCTATAAGTAAGCCTCAGAATTTGATTGTAAAGCAGTTACGGATGAAGACACTGAGCCATAAAGAGTTTAAGCAACTTGCCCAAAGTAACAGAATCTGAAATAGAATATAAGAACTGTGGCTTTCCTCACACTTATCTATAGACTACAGTCTCTTTCTTTTAAGCTCTGACACTGCTGACCCATCCAAAGGTGTCTACCATTGCAATCTCAAAACAAATGTCAGCAAGGTTTCCAGGATGACTTATATCATGCAGTACTGTTTTCTCTGAATTGCTTATGCATATGATTTTTGCATGCCTGCTTCCTTCAGGCACAGCAGGTGCCCAACACTAAAAATAGACTCTATTGCATTGTTTTACTTGGTACCACATCAAACCTTGTTGTTTCTTGTCAGTCAGTCTCAACCCTTATTATCAATGCTCGTATGCATACAGTGAAATAATGTGACATTATAGCTACTTTAATGTAGGCCTTGTAGGAAAGGCCTGCTCAGGCTAACTAGCTATTACAGCCTGTGATGTGTTTTCATATTATGACTCACTGGTACTACTCTGATCTGATCAGAACAGCAATGGCTCTCATCTTAATTCATATTATCAGCAACCTATTTCTTAACCAAAAGAGAACATTTAGAAATTGAAACAGAAACATCTGTATCCATCAAACTGCATTCATTAGATCTGATGGGAGCTAACGTATTTTACACAAATAAATGAAAAACTGCCAAGCCGACAAGCTCAGTTATTTAACTGTGTGCATTTGGTTAGCTGCACATTTTCAAGCCTTATAAAACTATCAAGTATTTTTAAAGTAGGGTTAAAAAAAGAGAACCGTAGGGGATAGTCATTAATTGATGTGTGTCTTTCATAATCATATTCTAATATAACCCACTTCCCAAACTTACAGCTAGTTCACAATGATACACATATAGCAAAGCTTCTGTCTTTCTCAGACATACATATGTACACAGATATTTCATTTTGAACTTGATTAGGCAGATGTTAAGGGCATTCAACACCAGTTGTTTTTCCATCTAGCCTGTGTTCATTGTCACTGATTACATCTGAAAAGCACAACATATAGCCAGTAAAGCACTTGAACCAGAGTCACTGCACTGCAGGACAGAGGACTACAGAACAGTTTTAGTTTAGGAAGTAAAGAATATTGTTTTCAAATTAAACTCCCTGGGGAATTAAACTGGGTGTAATGTAATTACCCAAGTTGGCAACTTGCCAGGACCCCAGAGTTAGCACTCAGTCTTGCAAAGTCTCTTAGGATCTTTAACATCTACAAGTGGTCAGGAGCATAATTTTGTCTCTCGTTTATATGAGGGCTTATCCAACAGTACAGTGCCCCCTAACACCATTTGAGTGCAAAAGAACAATGCTTGCTTAAAGAGAAGGGTGCCACCTGTTTGTAATCTTTACAAATGTTTTTGCCCATGTTTGGGTTTTGACAATTTTCTCTGTAGAAATGAAACAGGAAGTGAGATATCAGATCTATCCAGCAAAGCCATGGATGATTTTAACAAGTTAGCAACCACAAAAACAATACACTGGGACTCTGTTTTTTTTTTTACAGAGAGAACCACCATGATGAATCTGCATCAATCCTTAACCTATGTGTATATTAGAGGATTTCATATCCAATAAAAGCTGGTGCTAAATATTTTATTAAGGGGGCAAATTACCTAATGGAAAAAAGGCGTTGAATTTTTTTTCTAAATCTGTCCATTTTTCCTTCCCAAAATGGGCAAAATGCCAAACACATGTCAAACTCTTCAATTAATGTCTCCCCTGAAGACACCCTTTTACCATCAAATGAAAAGAACAATTATTGCAGAAGAAAAGCTTCAGTGTTTTCATACAACTGTATTTGACTGACTGCAGCACAGAAAGTAATGCTTTGAAAACACAGGGGCTATGATGAAAAACAAAATCAGTACCTTAAAGAGAGGCAGTAATGTTATCACCTGAGCTAAATGACGTGTGTGATAATTTTACCTTCCCTTTTTTTTGCCACATTTCCTTTGAGTGAGAGAACACTGATGGGGCATCATCACTGCTCTTCAAAGTTGGAAGTATCCCAAGTTCTAATTTAAACCACAAAGTACGTTAAAATAATTCATACTATTTCAACTTCTGATTCAGAGAAATACACTATTTGTTCACACCTGCTCCATTTCAGTGGTTCCTCCACCCTCTTGTCCTCTCTGGGGGGTGTCACTGCACACACAGTCACACATGCACATAGGTTCAGTGCTTTCTTGTTTTCAAGATACACACGTTAGTGGAGTCTTAGTGAGGAACTCCTTGTTTCCTAAAACATTCAATTCTAAACCCAATGGGAGTGCAATGCAGCTGGTAAAACTGTATTGTAGCTTAAAGTCATGCTAAAGATGCTTCATTTTTTTTTTT